CACATTAAGTTCATAAAAACATGGTAAATCTGTGCCACCCTGGGAGTGCTTTATCCAGCTCCTTTTGTTCAGTGACACCAATGGCTTGTGGTTTTTCGCTATGTTATCTTACAAATTATCATGCTGGTAAAAATATTTTATAAAAGTCGCATATTATGTTTTCTAGATAGTCTCTGCTTATATGAATGTACTTAGTCTCAGCATCAGAAAACAGTCTGAAACCATATGCCATAGATTTTTAACCATCCCTCTTTGCCTGGACTAGCAACCCACTGAGACTATAGGTCCTGGTATCTGCAAGAACAGTCACAGTGGTGGAAATTTCATAAAAGAGCGGGATAGCAGGATCAGGGTCATGGGATCAGGTAAAATCTTCAGATACTCCTGCACATGCTATTGTGCTTTATCCCAGCTTCTTATAGATTGAAGTAGTTTTAAAGGGCATGTTTTTTAAGAACATGTTCAGTATAGGCTCTGTTGCCATAAGCTATCAAACTTAAACTCTATTTTGTGTATTTTAGAGCTTGTTAGAAAAAATCCATACATTTTTTCAGATCCCTTCACTCTATTGATCTTACTGCTGTGAAACATTCTTTTTCTTTTTTATTTATTTTCTGTGCAATTTCAGTCTGCCAGCCTCAACTGCCTACAAAACCTTCTAAATATCCTCTTTCCATTTTGCATGGAAAAATAAAAAGAAATATTTGAAATAGGCACTGTAAACTTAGATGCCTACACATATATTCACACGTTAGGCTTTTACTACCTTCACTGCAATACAAGGAAGAGAGGACTTGAGACTGCCTGCCTGTGTTAAACACTTATATGGTGCAGGTCCTAAAAAGCAGTGTGCTGCTCCCAGTGCTATGGTGCCTACACAACCTGTATAGCCAGGAGAGGTCAATTGCAGGAGCAAGGATAGGGTCCTCCAGAAGAGCCGGGCGCCCCTCTCTTGAGCAGCAAAACCAGATCGGGCCACTTCTCCAGGGCAATGCAAGGGCTGCACGCTCCTGAGCCGGATGCAGCCAACAGCAAAGGGTAAGCGTAAGTCTGAGACAAAGCGAGTGCAGGACCCAGGGCAGCGGAAGGGCCCTGGAAGCCAAAATTAAGTACCCTTTCGTGCAGGCAAGCGCAAGGAAGAGAAGGTAGTTTCTTTTCCACTGGGAATCATCTGCTAGTCATTTTCTTCAGCTGAACGGGATGGTCATGGCTCCTTTTTACTTCTTAATTTATACAAGGTCAAAAGCTGCTTTGAACAGGGTTAACCTCCCTCTCTCCTGTAAAAGGTGGGATTCCTGAAGGGGAAATCCAGAGTCGTGGTTCCTGCTCTAAGTGCGCTTTATATTCACTGATGTTAATAGAAAAATCCACCAAAAAGCATTGGAGCAAGAACCAGAACAAAATGTTTCCATTTTTTAGCTGAGTCTCCATTGCACTGAGCTGAAGAGTTAGATCATACCTACATGCGAGTAGCTGGCCCTTGTCATTTGTACTGACCAAAGGAGGCAGTTAGGCTGAGATGGCATGGGATGCTGTTTTTCGTGATGGAAACACAGACAGATTTTTTAGATCCTTTGAGAGATTAGATGGTGCGTAAGTAGTCTGAATCATTGTCTGAGAATTGTAAGTCCTCTAAGTCAGGCCCTGGCAGAATTTAGATAACGGGTGCATTTGAGTTACTGTTTCATTCCAGCTCAGATGCACTTTTGAAGGGAATCTCCCGGTCATCCCTGCTTACTGCGCTTTGGCTCACATTTTTGGCTCACAGAGCAGTCCTGGTGGGCCCGAACTTGGTTCCCTTCTGACGATGTGAAGCTGGAATAGGGGCTACAGGACCACAGCTAGGGCTCTGCGACTGCTCTGGGGCATTCAGCCCTTGAAGAACTAGTGTAAATCAAAGCTCAAAGACATCACACCATTTTCCATCATTGCATGTAAGGGTAATTGATTTTCAGAAAGGCAAAGCATGAATCAAATGTTCTCTAGAACAGCAAGTTTCAAAAATAAATTGGTCACTAGAGGGAGCCTTTTCATCACTGTATCTTAGTATCAAACTGCTACCGCCTTGGGACTTCAAGCGTTTGGATGATGAGTACTTTAAAATGGTCAGTAAGTGCTACTTCCTCCGTTATCTCTTTTTAAAGAAAACACAGCTAAAAGACATGTGTACAAGACTGTTGCAAAAAAAGAAATGTCTTTAGACTACACAAAGTGCCCTCCCTCCTTTATGTTCATTACCTGTAATTGTGCCCAAGTGGTAAGTCCCAATAGCCAGATTGCAACAAGCAAAGTTATTTATTTGAGAGCTTATTTTAGAATTATTTTCTCCCTTCCTTTCAGTGTTTATTTTGGACTGTGTAAGCTGTCTAATTTCCATTAGTTGGCCTTGGCCTGCGTAAATAAGTTTTTGTCTTTTTGTCAGTGCCATGAGTCTTATAGTTCATTGCTGCAGCTCTTTGTTGAGTATCTAACAGCAGAAAGGTCTCACACCACATGTCTTTGACAAAGCGTACAGAATAAGTGTTTTTTCATGTCTGCTGCAATTGTTTCCTGTGATGTGTGAGGTTTTCTTGTCACTCAGATAGTGATCTGGTTTAGGTCTTTCTCTGTTAGGTTATATAAAAAACACTGAAGACATGTTTTGCAGTATAACTGTAAACATGCATTCAATTTTCTGCTACACGCTAAATTTAGTAAATAACATAGCAGTTGTAGTTTGTGGTTCTCCATAACAAGTGCTATACAATTTACAAGAAGTCATGGAAAAACAAAAGAAGTAATAGGATAGCTGTGGAGGGGATCCCGTATGTAAAAGATCCTATTACAGGCCCAGGTAGGGTTGCAACCTGAATAGAAAAATCAAGCACCTTCTGAGACAGTTTCTTCTTAGAAAATGTATATACAACAGCAGAGGGCATGAGACAACAACAAATCCTACACGTGTTAATGAATCTTAAAGTGCTAAAGACACAATGAAGGGGAATGGGAGGTGTTTTATGGAGGTCTAAAGGTCTCATAGATTATAGATTATAATGGAGGGTGGGGATAGGGAGGCAGGTGGCGAAGAGAGAAGGACAGAAGGAAAACCAGAGAGACACATTATATCTCCTGTGTGCCGGTTGCCACCATTCCAGCATGGAAATGTTGTGGTGGGAAGAGAAAGACACCACTGATGACACTCCCTCCTCATGCCAGCACCTCTCCAGTACGCCATGGGGCAAGCCAGCCCTCAACTGCCTGGGAATCACATTGGCTGCTGTAATTATCCTTGGAGATACTCCACCAACAAGCCAACCTGCGCATTGCAATTGCTTGGTGAACCGCCAACTCGTAAAATATTCCTTCTCTTTTAAGATAAGAAAACATAGGAAATTCTCTGTCAGTAATAGAAGGTTATGGTTTGATAATATCTCGTGCTCTTCCAGAACATGGGTTTTTGAGTCAGCAGGACCCAAAAAAGAAATCAAGAAAGAAAGTATTAACCAAAATGTAACTTTAATCTGTTCAAAATGAAAAGAACAATATCTATTGGAGCATCATATTACCCCACCCAAGCTTTTTCATCATTAAGCCTGCAGAGCATGCTCGTTCAGCATCTGGCTGCTGACAGCTCAGGGCTGGAGCATCCCTGTGCACCAAGGCGCTGCCCAAAACTTCCAGCCAATGGCCCCTGTGGCCACTCTCCTCTGGCCTCACGTGCAAACACAGGAAAGATCAGCATGTGCTGGATCTCCTCACACCCATATAGGTTTGCTGCGCTGCATTCCTTAATTCCTGCAAAATACAATGTGGCCATGAACGTGCTGGGGATGGAGAGCAGGCAGGTAACTCCTAATGCTTTTTGCCAGCAATGTGGTGGAAGGAGGAGTTGGATACAGCTGTATTTAGCTTGTACTATAAAACTTTTATTTCCTGCTCTGCAGATGTTTGTTTGAAAAGCCATCCGTCTTGAACTCTGGTTCTAAGAACTGGGATGCCAGTCTGAAAATGTCACGTAATACCGTGAGGCACCTATGTTAGCAAAGATTGCAGTCAGTGAATAAAAATAAGAAACTAAATTGATAACAGGAAGATATTCTACTTTCTAACACACATTTTCTTGGTTGGATACTAGTTTATCATCACCAAGTATATATATATGGGGTTTTATTAAATCATAAAGCTCTAAAAAGTTGGTACTTTCAGACGTGGGTGGATTTAGATAACATATTGAACAATAGTATTGATTCTCCCAAAACAAAATTAAATATTGTTAGGTCCTGTTATGTAGATACAGCAGTCATGACTTTTCCCAGCAGTAAACTAGCTGTGTTAATAAGAACATGTTGCACCTCACATAATTTGAAATAAAGCAATTCCACAGAAATTCCACCCTCTAATGTTTGTGTTCAGCAAAAAATTAGATGATTGTAACCTTGAAAGTTGTGTTAAATGATATGAGATGAAATGTGGCCTTGCAGAAAGTTGCAGCGTATTTGCATATCTGAAAACCCTGCCGCTTCCGATGAATCTAGCCTTTTGCAGAACATTTTACCAGAAAAAGCCTCTACAGGCTGTTTCCAAACCAGCCCAAGGGCAAGGAGTGGGGCTGATTTGGCCCGTTCAAGCACAGGCATGCCATGACAGCATGGGGCCACCCTGTCCCCAAAAGCACTCGAAAGTCGAGCTGAATGCCTCCTTTTCCAGGGAAAGCAAATTCAGGTCCCAAGCCAGCATTTCCTCCTCGCATCCTAAAACTGCTTTTTACTGTGCGTGCAGAGGTGACCTTGTTATCACTACAGACACTTGAGGCTGTTATATAGCAAAGATATTCTCTCAGTTTCTCTTTCCGCAGACAAAGAATTGCTGTTTCTTAAGTACAGCAATCTTCTGTTTTCCTTGCTGGAAATGAGGTGACGTTTATTGGGAACTGTTATTTATATCCTTTTTCGCTGGCGAGGGTCAGACTTGAAGGAGGCTCTTTGCTTCCTTTGAGAAACCAGTGATAGGGCAGAAAGCATTCTCCCGGATCGCTGGTGTTGCCTAAGCCAAATTGCCTGTGCGCATGAATGTTACCGTTGTGCTGGCGGCAATCGGAGGTGCAGCGCAAGGAACTCCAGCACAAATTCAACTCTCCAGCAGCTTGAAAACTTCAGTACAACAAGGCTTTCCTGTGGAGAATCGCGCATGAGCAGCTGGGTAGATTATTTAAGGACTGCCTTCAGAAACAGATGTTAGATGCTGTGCTGTGGCAGCAGTTGTTTTGCCGAAAATTTTGGAATGGTTTTAAGTTGACCGAAACTAAGCTCACACTCGGGTGTATCAGCTGCCTGCTATTCTCACTCACCAGAGAGTAACTTGATACCAGGTACTGTATTGCTGCCTTTCTATGTTTGCAAATGCACAGGAAAATTTTAACGGGCACTTGGATAAATTTGTTGCTGTTGTAGATAAAAATATCTTGAGGAAATTTTTAGAAGGCATTTCCCCTTAAAACAACATTGTTCACCTAGTGTTCACCTGTGTACAAAGTGAAAGCAGTCAGCTGCAGACAATTTTTTCTCATGAGTTTGGCTTTTAGTTTAGCTGTGCCAAGTCTATAAATTAGGAAGATATTTTCCTTGACTGAACAGTACCAGACTGAATGGGATTACCTGCAAGAGTTTTCACTGAGTGTTGCTGAACTGATGCCACAAATGGGTATTGTTTGTGTTAAAAGTACGTCTAAAAATGTGAATGTTTTCTCTAGGTTTGTGCAAGCTGACTTGAATTTGGATGTCCGTGTCTTATGAGTATTTTGACAGAAAAGTAAAGATTGATTTAAAAAGTTCAGTCAATTAAAAAAAAATCACTAAAATATGAAAACTCTTCTGGCTATACCCTCCTGGATGATTAAAATGGATAAAGAAGGGGATAGAATCTGTTCAGGGGAGGGTTAATGAGTGGTAGGGTAGAGAGAGAGTTTTTCTTTAAGCTCAGTTCAATTCAGGTAATAAATTGGACTGCTTGGTTGTACAATGGCTTAAGTGCTGTTTTGGTATGCTGGGTGGAGGTCCCAAAACGTACTCTCTAAACTGCTTGTGGCTGAATGGGGCAGGGGCTTGCTGCTACCCCTGGGACCTTTAGGGCACCCACAGGAAGAGCTGCCTTGCAGTGCAAGGACCTGGGCCCTCTCCAGCTTCTCGAAACAGAGTAAACTGCTTTGACTTTCCCTCTTACACCTACAGCTTGTTCCCCTTTTCCCCTTGCCTTTCATGAAGAAAATGGCTTGACAAGGGTATAATCATTCGGCGCAGTAAACTATTCTCTGTATAACAACTGTTATTTTATAGGCAGCTCTAGAGGAGACTGAGCTTTGAGCTCCAGCCTGTGCTTTGAGTCAATATAACTCTATAAAGTATAGGCAGTTAGTAACAAACAATTACTCCTCAACTTGCATATTTCCAGCTCCGTTTATTTCAGTTGCTACTGCGGCATATTCTATGTGTAAAAGATGCCTGAGGTGTGCACCAATATCTTTCCTATACAAACTCAGGATATAGCAAAAGCACAAATCCAGATGCAGGAAACTAAGTTTGAGTGTCTATAGATAGTGCCGTGTTAACACTGATGCTTGCAAACAAATGTTTACAATTGTTTGAACACCTTTTTTCTAATCTCATGTGAATATCGTCTTCCCGCTAAAACTCTAAGCATAGAAATCTTAATTTTCCCATTGAGGCTCATAACATTGATGAATAAAATGTATTTTAGAGAGTGTAAGAACTATTAACAAAATCCAGGTAGTAGAAGCAGGTAACACCAATATTTTCTGCTCAGATAGATATTAACCAAACTGCTCAATGCTACCATTTCTGGAAAACAAAATGGTAAGCCAACACAATTTATAAAATTGGGACACTTGAGATAGTTCAATGTTGTTTAACCACGCATTAGATAAATTCAAAAGGAATCTGTTTTAAAGCCTATGAATCAAGGTCATTTGGCCTTTACTTTAAATCCTTTTAATGGTTTGTCTTGTCCTGACTATAAAAGAGAAAGCCTGAGAGAACCCTTTGCAGAAAGCTATACACAGAGAGGGAAAATATCATCAAACCCAGAAATCTGGCACATGCACAGGAGGAGAAGGCTAGGCTAGAGTGTAAGTCAAACAAAAAGAGAATACAAACTCAGTGTCTTCTATGAAAATGTCATATCTGAAAGAGGATGAATAGCATTTCCACAACTAAAGATATTTCTCACAAGCCTGAAAGGAAACTTGGCACATTCTAAGAGGAAGCAGCAAGCTATTACTGTGTCTGTGATTACAGGAAAATAAATGATATTGAGGACTGTGCTTTAAAAAGATCTTCTCTTCCTTTCTGACTGAATAGTAACAATTTTTCACATGGCATAGCCATGCAACAAAAGAGAATTATTTTGGTATCTTAAGAGAAACTTTTCTACACAAAAGAGTAAAATTTCTCTAAGAAGTGAAAGTGTCCTATCAATAACAAACAACATTAATGCCTTTACTCTCGTTCATTCAGGGGCTAATCCAAGGTCAACTGAACTAAATAAAATAGAGAAAATATCGAAGGGCTTCGGGTTAAGTTTTTTGTCCATTCTTATTGCAGTGACTAATAGGAAGATACAAACATGACAATTCTACCTCTCTTGGTTTTACAGGATCTGAACGCACCAGATGAAGAAATGATTTGGCAACCAACAACTCACTGGTAAGAAAAAAGTTCATGAATTATGATTACATCATAATTAGAATGATCTAAGTTTAGTAATGACATAATACCGTATTGTAAAACAATTTATAGTATACTAACTCTGATTTACTTTTGTTTTTTTTTTTTTAATTGTTGCTGGTTCTTAAACTTTTCACCACACAATGGCCACAATCTGGATGAAAACGTCAGAGGAAGTTGCTTACGTTCAACAACTTCCCGAAACAACTTCTAAAAAATATCCCGAACCTCCAGAACAAACTAACTGCTCTCACATGTGATTTTTCACACATCAGTTCCCAAGTCAGAATGCTCCTGAGAAGTTTGGAAACAATTAGAAAAGGAAATTTTAAATGGACCTGGCACTTTCCTTTTCATGATGTCTGTTTGAGTCAACGTCAAAGTTTAACATACCCTCTACCTACTCAAAGACTTTTGAGGGGAGGAATGATTTGATTTCCCACCAGGAGCAGAGGTATTAGGAAAGAAAATGAAGGTGCCCTGGCTCTCTGTCGTTTCTGGATGCTGCTGTGCCAGGCAGGCTGTTAGCCAGCTTCCTGTGCACTGAGGTCCATAATACCTCTCCCTTCAGCCCACATCTCGTCCTGAACAGAGGGCCATACTCGAGATTTAGGCTGTCATGCTCATATGATACACATGTGGCTGTTTTTATAGGTATAAGTGCAGAAGAAGATCTGCTGATACATGTAGTTATGTTACAGCTCTTCTCCAGAATGAGGGCATAATACTAAAGAGAAAAATTTTGATGGACAAAGGGGATTTATTTTCTAAAAAAATTATGCCAAATGAAATGTTTCAGTTTATTATTTTAGTGCAAGTCTTGCACAAATGCAGGACTCACCAGTTTTGGAGGCATATGAAACAGTGAGTGCTTTGGTTCAATAAAACATTTCTCTCGTCTTTGTCACTTCTTGACTGCTAAGCAGTGGTCTATGTTATGTGCAGTTTTAGATCTCCTGCCACTGCAGAAAGAAGTACTGGCTGACCAACTTTTAATTTTTCTTTTGCATTTAACTCAGCTTTCATTTGGACACCACATCTTTAATTAAGACCTGAAGCCCTCTCTCACTTGAATAACTCACATGTTTCTTAAATAATCATCCCATATTCTTCAAATGTCTTTCCAAATCCCTGTCCTCCTATACACAGCAATGCAGGAATCTGTGTGTAAGTGTTTAGGTCTTTGGCAGAAAGTGTAAGCTTCTTGAACTAGTGGTTCATGTCTCATGTGGACAGATAGTCAGTCTCTACGATTCCTAGAAGGAATGATGCAATGCTTCGAAGTACATCTCAGCTAGGCTGATGGTGGGACTTTGGCATGCTACAGGTATATTCCAGTCTTAAACATCTAAATAAAGGAACAAACAGTGTGTGCCTGAAGACACACATTATATGTGTGTCTTCCAAGCACAAAGGGTGAGATCCAAAGAGGGTCTATAACATGACCCCAGCAGAATTTTTGTGCATATGCCAAAGAAAGTGATCCTGAAATGAGATGCTACACAGGCCTATAAGGACCGTGTATTCACTTAGCACCTATGCCTTGATCTTGAATCATCCCTGGATCCTGTTCTAGGAAGAGCTTCTAGACACCTATCTCCCCCTATGCTATATTATAACAGTCTAGCCACAAAAGCATGAATCATAAACTCTGTTCACGTCCTTAGAAAATGCCCCACAATTAGAATATTTATTAGCACATGCTAGCAGCTCCAAATCCTCTCAAGGAATAGCATCCATAGTTAATTTATTTAAAAGACAAGCCAGCAAAGAGGTGAGTATTTATCTTTACATGTAATCCTAGTGAATAAAGCACTCACCTAGAAAATAAGAGACTCAGATCTGAGACTCGGATCTGACATCTGCTGACATCTGAGAGGGATTCAAACCCCTATTTCCCACAGCATACCTAACAGGCCCAGCAACCAGGCTGTAAACAGTCATGGGAAGAAAGAAGAGCCAGTAAATGGGAACTGATAACTAGTTTGGTAAAAAGAATGACAGGCCCATATTTTCTCAGGCAGATACCAAGGCTTACCCACTACACAGTCAGTGTCTAACCAGTGCAGTTTTGTACAAGTGAGCGAATGGCTGCAACTCCGTTTAAAGAAGAGTGTGGACAGCACCTATATGAAGAAGGGAATCTGAGGTCTTGGTTTCAAACTAAGGAAGGAATTTGTCTGCAGTCTTTCTAAGGTATCTAACCCTTAAACACGAGCAGGAGTGAGCCTCAGCATTTCCTTTTCACTATAAATAATTCCCTGCTAAGTTTGCAAGATATTTCAGCCACTTTTCACGAATACCACTTTCACTACTTTTTCTGCAGATAGATAGCCGTGAAAACTCTGTTAGCTAAACCTAGCTTCCTGGAAGTCTCTGTTTTTTTTTAAATTTTAAATTTAAGGTGCCACCTTAACCTTCCTGGCACTCCAAGAAATAAGTTTAAAAAAAAAAAAGTCACTTCTGTAACACACATCTTAGGATTTTTGCTAGCATCAGGAATTTATAAGTTAGATCCTAATGTACAGAACACTCTACTTTCTTCAGCCCAACTTTCAAGGTTAGGGAGTACCTGAATGTGAGATTTTGCTCTGTGTCATGACTTTTACATAAGCCCTTTAGTCTGTATAACTCCCAGCTTTATTCTGCTTATGATACTTCAAACAAACACATCACAAGAAGCTTCTCCAGCCAAATAAAAATGCTTCACCTTGAAAGCTCTGCAGCATGTTCATGCATCGACAGGTATGCTGCTCTGGCAGCCGCGCATCCATCAAGATGGAAATTTTTTCCCTATTGCGACAAATGAGCGTTCCACTTATCTAAGAACTATTAGAGAGACCAGATGTCCTCACTCTGGTCAGTGCTGCCTTTCCTCTTCTCAGTTGTTAACATCTAAACTCTTCATGACCCTGGCAGCACGCCCTGCATCTGAATAGCTTTCGCAGTCACTAATAAGTCACTGAAACTCTTGCTCACATTGTAGTCCTAAGAAATTCTCACTATTCCTTATGATGGGCTGCTGCTCTCTCTACTGGAAGCATCATATAGCGCTTCATGGAGAAAGGGAAAATAGTTTAAAACAATCGCTGTCTTACTGACGTATTTAGTCATGATATGTGAAGGCAGCTGAAATGATGCATGGATATCCACAGCAATCTCTGCTCATGTGCAGCCTTTGAAGAAAAACAGGAAGGACTAACATGTGAATGAATGTGGGGTTTTCATAATGAAGCAAATATGCAGGTGTCATTCTCAAGCTGAAAATTTGCAGAGATCTCCACCATAAGCTAACTCACCCAGGAGGAAACTTTTAAGACTTTGTTTTTGACTGGGTGGAGAATGTGTGCAGTCAAGCTCATGTTGGACAGTACTGAGCCACCTGCAGCAGGAGTCATGAACAGCCTGGCTTTCATGGCTTTCTTTCCTTCTTCTGTGTTTCAGGTCATCTCTGGTCACCTCCCTCGTTTTCTGTCTGTTTCTACCACCACAGCTTTCCATCACAATAAAGCCAAACATTGTCCTGTTCATGGCTGATGACCTTGGTATAGGAGACATAGGTTGCTATGGGAATGATACTATCAGGTAAGGAAACAGAGCATAATAATGAGTAGAGTTTGTCTGTTTTTTAGTGTAAGATTGCCATCTTCTACCAGCCTTCAACTATTTGGCCTGTCTTCAGGCTTATTTACTGCAGAAATAGGGGGATTACCCGTGGATGCCACTAACAATAGATGCACTATCACGATTATCTCACAATCTAGAGGGCATTCCCAGGGCCAGATCTGCTATCCAGAGCTGTTTTAGTCTGGGAATACGTCCTTAATTCTTGTGTATTTCTTAATTGTTGAGAAATGCTAAACTCCTGCATACACCTGAAGACAGAAAAATTGTTCCCTCTTCCCACATATCAAGCCTCATTACCTCATTTAACTGTTATGCAATTCTTTCCAAGTATCACATCAAAATCCAGTATAAATCATTGCAATGAGCTATGTTACTAGGAAAAACTTCTTTTTTCGTACTTCAGGACGTAGAATTTGGCTTCTCTTTCAAAATCCTGCCACGTTATTGCCTCCTGGCTTCCTACCAGCTTGTTACTTCTTTAGTTGTTGAACACAACTAAATTTGGTATGATCAGTCCCCTCATCCAGCTACGTTTTCAGAATCTCACCCTGACTGACACTGACTGGCAGTTTCTGATAGGCAGCTGATGAGGCTCTGCATGGCTCGACATCTACTTCAACATAACTATCCTCTAAGCATGAATTCTGCTCTTCAGGAGCAGTGGGGTGCATTTCTGTGAGGCCCTTTGTAGGACTGAGGAAAACAAGAAGGAATGATTAACTTGAAATTCATCCAGATACTTATTGTTAATAAAGAAAGAAAAAATATACATTTTCAGGAAGGGAAGGGAAGGGAAGGGAAGGGAAGGGAAGGGAAGGGAAGGGAAGGGAAGGGAAGGGAAGGGAAGAATACATCTTGAAATAAAAGAAATTTCCCGAAATAAATCTAAGTGTATTATCCCTCATCACCATCCCCTTGAAGACCCTCTGAATGACACCTGACAATGTTGGTTGTGTTTTTAGGACCCCGAATATTGATCACCTGGCAAAAGAAGGAGTGAAGCTGATGCAGCACATCGCTGCAGCTCCGCTTTGCACCCCCAGCAGAGCAGCTTTCCTCACTGGCAGATATCCCCTCCGATCAGGTTTGCCTTGCACAACCAAGTAGCCTTTAAGCATTGCTTTATTGCTAAAGGGAACAATCTCATACAATTGGCACAAAAGAAAGGAGGGTGCGCAGACAGAAGGGATACAGCAGACAAATCATCCCTCACTAAGTACACACACAAAGTTCTACCAGATAGACCAGGCTCCTCTGAGGTTACATCTATATTTATGGGGTGCATTCAATGGACCTGAAGGAAAGCAGAGCAGAGAAGAACCAGCTTTGCAGAGAAACTTGCTCTCCACTTCTGTTGCACTTTAATGCTCCTTTACACAGACTGCAGCAGGA